TTCATGTTTTAATGAATTAAAAAATAAATATAATAAATGTATTATTTTGTTTTAATATATTTATGTATGATAAATTATTACAATGTAAGCATTATTGCATCAAATATAAATTAATTTTATTTGTTAATAATTTTGCCATTTAGTTGTAAAATGTTAATACATGTTTTTTCTAAGCAAATGCCAATTGGTGAACTCAAGTTTTTTTAATGAAATCTCGATATATTTATAATTATTTTATGTTCAATAATTATAAATTGGGATGAGTTAAAAAAATTGATCGCATTTCATGTTATATAATTTATTGTAATAATTGTTTAAGTGGCAACATTTGATTGATATTTCTTTAATGACTAGTAAAGTCTTGTATTTATTATATAAATGTTAAATCATAAAGTATTTCAACTACTATTTATCAAATTTAGTTACAAACTATAAACTATTATATACAACATATTAATGTAAACCAAACATAATTTATTGGCTTATAAGTGGAACTGCTATTTATTTCATAGCTTGTGGCATACAATTTTTGAAATTTGTATTCTTGATCATTTGAGGAAAACTACTAAGTTGAATATTTTTACTCTCTGTGTATACTTAATATTTCTAAGTTAAATAAGGAAATCGATTGAAAAAAATGTAGGTCCTTTCTGTACATAATACTAAATGGCGAACATTTTATATAATAATATAAGTACTATACATGAGTATACTGATCCTGATAAATAATAATTTAAAAAAAGCCCAAATAACAGTTTAACTTATACCGAAAACTATGTAAATACTTGGTTAGACGTTTTCTTATTATTTGTTAAAAAATTAATTTAGCAGTATGAAAATAATTTTTGAAATATTGGAAGATTTACATGTTAAAAATATATTGTATAAAAAAAAAAAAACAAAAAAAAATGGATAGCCAAATTTAATTAATCAATTAAAAGTTTAAAACAAACCATAACATTTTTACAAGAACTTCATCTACTATAAATTATTTTTTACGAATTGATTATTATTTAACGATAAATATGATCATTTCATATTTAGCTATTATTTTTATAAATATGAAAATTGTATCTAAAAATGGCAATTTTTTAATAATAATAATATATTAATTATTATTGTATAACTTTTTTTTTTAATCAAAATGTTATTCAATTTGTATTTATATTGAAATTAATTTGTTTCTCGTCCCAAATACATTCCCCTAAGTTTTAATGTTTCAATATAGTTTGTAAGAAAACAGTGTTGTAAAATTGTACTATTAATTTGTACGTTGTTTAATTAATATAATTATTATTTATTATTATTATTATTATTATTATTATTATTTCTATTATACATTTCATAGTTATTTGTTCATCTGTGGTATATATTATTAATAGTTATCAGGAAAGTTAATGGTATTTTTAGAATACATATGTACAATGTACAAGTATTTTATAATTTTTCTTTTATAAAATCTCAATTTGAATAAATATTACTTATTTTTAATTTAAAGATACAATGCATTGTTTATTTTAAATATAATATGATTTGTAAGTTAAAAAATGATCAAAGTTTAATTGGTAATTGCTTGATAATAATTATATTAGTTAATGAAGAATGTTGAATATTAATAAAATACAAATTGTTTATTACTTTTCCGTAAAAAATGAATGTTATCTTCATAATATATTTACAAAAATAATGAAATATTATTTAAATTGAGATAAGAAAGTTCACGTGCAATTTTGTTTATTTATTTAAAAAATACTATTAAACATTTCATCATATTATTTTATTACTGTATTATGTTTATGAATTAAGAACTCTTTACAATAAATTATTTATAATAATAATGCACTATGTACGCCAAATGTCTTGGATATACTGGAATACCAACCTAGTGAATACCGTTCTGGTATTTTTATTAGGACCCATCTAATGTTACATTATTCTAGTTAAGTAGAACGTAGTATTATCCGATAGTGTATTTCAATTGTTTCCTATTTAATTAGTTTACTGTAATTTCATGAGTTAATTAATTGCATAGTATTTAATTTTTATACTACAAATAGGTGTAAATTAGTTCAACTAGTTTGTACACAAAATATAATGTACTGTAGTTAATGGCGTTAGTCTTAAGTGGAGATATTAGAGCTGGGTGACTGGGAATTCCTGAGTCTGGGACATTTCGGATATATTGTTAATTAATTAATTATATCTTTAAACATAATTATACTGAACTCTTCTCTATAATATTGTGTTCAAAATTAAGTAAAATATCTTCATGTATGATTTATTTAATTACAAGTTATACAATTAAGCATCGTGTTTATTTTAAATTTATATTATATTATATACTTAAATGTATAAATTAATATATATTTACACATATATATATATGTGCATGTATATAATATTAATGTTAAATTCAGTGTTGTAAATCATTTTATTACCAAATTAAACTACCTGACAGTATGTATTAATTGTTGGTGTTCTAAATTTAATACCTTATAAAATGTGTTAAACATGGCATTAAATATTTTGTCAAGGATAAACTATATTTCCTGCATTCTCTTAACTATTTATAGTAAAAAATATTAAAGTTAGAAATTATTTAAGTCTGTTGGTTGGACATTTGGTGGATAAGTTTATAGCCAGAGTTGGACAGACCCTGACCTCAAATAAGCAAACACTAACCGGAGCCTCGGTTGGTTTGGGCTCTTGGACCTTTTTCTCAAATTTTAAAATAAGTTTATTATTTCTTTGGTAACAAATTTGTGTAAGGGTCTCATATAAAAATGACAAAATAAATTATTATTATTACTGAGAAAGTAAAAATATTTTGTCAAGGAAAGTAAATAGAAGAACCTATTTGTAAGAGCCATAAGATTAGATATTAATGTAGGGCTCGGAAGTTAATGCATTTTGTATTTTTTTTGGATATTTTTAGATGATATCATCTAGAGCATCATAATTATGCTCTCCTGGCCACAAATGTGTTTCATTAGCATCTAAACAACTTTTGTATGCATTTTTTTATTGTTGATTAATTTTTAAGTCACTTTTTGACATTTTTAAGATATTTTCCCACTTTTTTAGTCATTTTCACTGATTTCACACTAGTTCACTTCTTATAGTTTGTTGTTTGTGCCGATAACTTACAACTTGGAAATTACCACGGACTAAAATTAATACCTATCCGATTATATCTCGGCGATTAGTCGTCCCATTGTTTTTGTGTTAAAATAAATAATATTGTACCAACATTTTATTAAATTTTCTTAATATTTTCGGAATGCCAAAAATTAAAACGTCGGTTATTGCTTGTCTGCGTGCATTTGTGTTGGAATTCGAAGACGATATTTCTTCAAGTGAGTGTTTTCTGGATAATTTCAGTGCTGATGATTTGGCACATTTCAGATTTGCCCCAATCACTTCAGTGGACGCGGAGAAAAGTTTTTCAAAATATAAATACTTATTAACAGATAATTGTCGTAAGTTTACTTTTGATAACATCAAAAACGCTCTAATTATACAATGCAATGATTTTTGAGTAATTTGTAAGGTTTGATAAATGTATATAGAATTTTATAGTGAAATAGATAAAAATATTTTAAAAAATGTATTATTATAAATTTGAAACAAATATATAATTTTTTGGTCATTTTTTGATGTTAAAGGTTATCAACTTCCAAGCCCTAAATAATAAGTAATGAAATAGTGTTAATATAATACACTGTATATAAAGATTGAACAAATAATATCAACGAATAATTAAGATGGTCAATGTGACTGAAATCCATAGGTTTATCTAAATTTGATACTTTGATGAGTAATGGCATAAAAGAAAAATGCAGATTTTTTTCAAACTTTTAGATAAACAATTTTAGTTATTTTGTTGTCATAAGTTCAAAAATATTTCTGGAAATGTTTACATACATTTTTACATTTTTTAAATGTACGTATTTTTTTTAAGCTATTGCTGATTTATGATTATATTATGTATAGCAAAATAAATTATACAATTAACAATGTAAATATATGTTAATATACTAAGTAATATATAGACCGTCTTCTCTCAGTATAATTCTTTGTATGCAATGATTTATCAGTGAATATTATTTTTGTATTTATTACAGTGATCTACTCTTGTTACGTGGTAACAATTAAATTATTGTGTATCACTACTGGTATACGGTGTGTAATTGTGTATCCGTAGTGATAGATATGTACCAAACGGGGGAATGTGAGAGGATTTGGATGTTTGACAAGACAAGTAGTTATACCAAGTATGATTTAACGTATATTTTAAAATGTAAAATAAAATGTAATATAAAATATTTTACTTTACCGATGACCTGGAAGCAACAATACACGGAGCAAGTGGAAAGACGAGACTAACTTCGTTCGGCTGACGAATGTCAAGCAGGCCAAACGATTATTATAAATTTTGTTTACTATACAAAATAGTTATACATATATATATATATAGCTTTACTCCGTGATATTACAGAATGCATAAAAGATGACACGCGCATCTATGATATATGTATTGTATATAATACTATACGTAATATTATAATAATACACCATTACACACACCATTACATACTTATTGACGAGGCACATATGTATCCTACTATACTATTCTTAAAAAGTTATATTGTAACTTCAGAGGTTTAATGAATTTGTTTTTATACTGATGTATAGAGCATAGTTAAAAGTAATTTTAATTCACAACCTGGCTTGTATCAATTTATACATTTGAAAAAAAATGATAATTTATAGCATTCTTAGAACTTTTTTGCATTTAAAAATGTTCCAAGAATAAATAATTTATCCCTAATAATATATTATGTTTATGAAATATCTTTTTTACGAAATCAACATTTTTTACCACCCATGGGATATATTATCAGCTCACTTTCAAATTAATATATATATATGTCTAAAACTCACCAATAAAAGGTTTAATATTAAGATTATTGGTAATAAAAAAACATTCAAACAATACCTACTTTATGTACAATACATATTATATTTTTAAACAAAATTACAGGTAATTATAAAATAAAATAGTAATTAAATTCATTAATTCATTAAGTAGGATTCTTCTGAAGCTGCTTATTATTATGAATTTACACTGGAGAGGATACCATACTGGAGTTTTTCCCTTTCTTTGTTTCTTTATGTTGATTAATTTTTGGTACCGATGGGCTCAAGTTGTTGTCGGAATCATCACTATTTTCTTGATCATTGTAAGTTTTACTTGTACCGTCACAATAATGCTCGTCATTAATACCCAATGATAGCTGATCAAGTTTTGTTTGAAGACTTTGAATTCTTTTAGTCGAACTTTCACGCTGCGTTTCTAACATCTGCAGCATAGGTTTAGCCACTGTTTCTAGCATATGTATTCCAGACAATGTGTAAACTGGAAACCAAATTATTATTAATAACATCCATTTATTTATTATGTAATTATGATAAGAAAATAACTATCTATTAAGAGGACGCAGTGGCGTATATACGAATTATTTTCACTATGGGCCGATTTATCAATTATCACTAGTCAAGCAGCATAGCCATAATTATACATTTTTAAGGGAGCAGCTGTTATATAATTAAGAATTATGACATATTATACAGTTCAAATAAAAATTGCGCAATTCAATTTTATAATTATTATGTAAAATTAATTTTTTGTTTCTTTTTTTAAAAATATTGACAGTGTCGTTTGTATATTTTAATGTTATCTTACTATGAATTTAACATCAAAGTCAATAAGTCATTAAAGCAAGTCCCGTCAATATATCTAACATTTCCTTGTAGATTACTCAAAAATGATTTTAATCAACCGGCTAACTTAATCATGGTGAAAAACTGTTAACAGTGTAAATATACATGCAATGCTTTAATTGAGCCTGCAATTTCACTATGGGCTCTGGCCTAGGGGGCCTCCCCCCTATATACGCCACTGAGAGGACGCCATACCCGTATGTGTGGTCTCCGACTTACAAAGGAACAACATAGCAAAAACTGTTTTGCATGGGACAACTTTTATCTTTCTGTGTTTGTAGTAGTGGCTCCAAAATTTCTGAACATATCGAGTAGAAAATTATCTGTGCAACAGCGTGCCTATATTTTAGATAACATAAATACAATAAAAGTTATTTGCTTCTAAACATTTTGTTTTTTTGTTTTTTTCATTTGCTTATAAAAAATGATTGGAAAGTGTAATTTAAAAAAAAGGCAAGCTGTTGCACAGATAAAGTTCTTCTTTACGTGTTGTGAAAATTTGGTAATTCTACAACAAATATGGTGCGATAAAAGTTGTCCCGCGCTAAACAGTTTTTGCTATGTTGCACATTTGTAAGACGGAGACAGCACATGCGGGTGTGGCGTTCTCTTAAGGACGCTTATTTATACAAATTATGTAGTTTCACTACAAAATTAATGGAAGTAAATGTACTTTAGAATATGAATTATTAAATAAATGTATAGAAATTGTAATATAGTTAGAGCTTAAAACAAAAATAAAGCTTCATGTCTTTAAGTGAAATATAATTAATTATAACGAAAAAAATTTAAAATAATATTCAACATGTTTATTTTTAGTGGTTTATGAAATTGTGATAGTGTAGTGGTAAATAGAATATGTGGTAGTCAATTTCATAACAACACAATAATGATAATTTAGAAATAATAACTTTCTTAAATATTCTTATCGTGGTACCATTTACCTGAATCATTATGAAGCTGAGCCATTGGACTTATATCACCTTCATTTGCTTCATTATAATTTTTTATGAGTTCGTCATACAATGTTTCTATGTGCTTTACAATTACCTGATGGTACAGACATGAATTAAATATATTTATAAATACGTTTTTCATCCAATTTATACACAAAAAAAATATTTGCCTATGATGCCAAGAATTATGATTTCATAAGATATTAAATTGGACATTAAATTTTTAAATATTTATATACAACCAAAATCTTGATTAGTTTCTAGTATTAAATATTTCTCAAGCAAAAATTTAAATTGTGGGTAGTTCTGATTTAAGAAATTTGAAATATACTATTAATTTTTTGAACTAAAAAAAATTACTATTGTTCAAACCGGTCAATTACTTTTAATTTAATACCAATTGTTCAACACAGTTATTTATGTACAAATATAACATTAAAACACTAAATAAATAGGTTATATTATATTAATATGAAAATAACTCGCAAGAAGAATTTAGAATTTTTTTCTTAGAAATTGCCCACATTATTTTTTACTCATTTATATAATTTCAATGTAAAATATTATATATTAATTTATTAGTTTATTGTAATCAAATTTGTAGATCTGCAATTTAAACAATTAAAACTAATAAATATAAGGCTATACAAAAATAGGAATAATTAATAAAATGTTGTCTAATACAACATATTTAAAGATGAGAGAAAGAATGATCCAAATATTATCCCCAACAACATAAATTGGCGGAGAAATAAATCATGTTTATATCAAGTAACAGAACTTGGATTTATATAGTTATTATATCATCAATGCAGAGAACTATTTGATTAAAATTATAAAAAAAATAATTACTCCAAATGACAATTTGCTAGTACAGGTTGTAGGTGCAACTTGAAATTTAACATCTATTCTGTGGACCATACCATTTATTTGTTTTGCTTGAAAACATACTGTTTTCATTTCTTTCATCTGCAACAAAAATTTACAATACAATATTACAATCTTGCAATATTTAAAATAAAAAGGTATTTTAAGATCTTTTAAAACTGATGAAACCTCATACCTAGCATAAAAAAGAAAAAACTAATACTACTATATTTACTAATTAGTCATCACTTTTTACTTAATTAAATGTGTATTAACTAAGTAAATATATCGTAAAAATATTCCAAAAATTGTATTTGCATAAATAGAGACATATTATAATTGAATTTATGTGTTGTGGCTGCATCAACTTTGACAAAAAATAATTGTATGAATAAATAATAATTTATTCTTTTCAGGTTAATTATAAATTATAATGAAACACTTAGTTGGCGAAATTGTTAAGAACATAAAAGTGAATCAAAATCATTAACAGGCATGATGATAAAAATAAAATAATTTTATTGCATTGTGTTGTTGTTCAACACACGCAGAAATTCATACTGAAACATTTGTTTATATGTAATTAGCTTAAGTTAGAGATTTGGCTAATTCAAGTAGCTAACATTATAAACAAAAAACAACCAATAAAAGGTATTGTGAAAATTACTATGACTTATTTCTACATTTTAAAAATATTTAAACAATTATTCATCTGATTTTATTATTATATTTTATACATCAATATTGGGTAAAAAAATGTGAATAAAAATACATTTATTCTATACATATATTTTTTAAACTTCAGATCTAATAAATTTAATTGACTAAAAAAATTGACTGATTGACACAGTGTTAATATGGTTGCTTGGTTTATGCAAGTTTTTGATTTTCGAGCACTGTAAATCACTTTTTAATTCCTCACACAATTGTAATATTTGTTTTGTGCTCATTTGGGCAAGATTAATCAATAAAAAATGTCATTCAAACCAGTAAATACTACTGTTATTTTAAAGAAAAGGGACGGAGAGTGCGCGAGTGGATAACACGTCAGTTGCAGCGCGCACCGTAGCCGGTTCAAACCTCGGTCACGGGCTGCACTTCTCTCCGGGCATGGCAGAAACCTGCGGGTGCCCACTAGAAATTCTGCCAAACAAACACACACGTGTTCCGTAACCCTAAAGTTCCAAAAACCCTACAGTTCCAAAACCCTACAGTACCACAACCTACAGCTAATGGCCTCAGTTTTCGAAGCTATAAAATAAAAAAAAAAAACTTCTGTTATTTATTTATTTTTACCATTGTTGTAGTGTCTGTATTATACGAGGAACAAATTATACCAATAAAACATGAATCCATGTTTTGTAAGTTCAATTGAGTTTGCAAATCTGAAAAAATTATAAAAATCAAAATTAGATGTTAGTTTTCAAAATAAATAATATATCATTGTTATAAGTGTAATCATAATATGTTATGAACATAAATGGTAGTGTATTAGAACACAAATCACCATTTATTATCATACATTTAGTGAATTTCATAAAACATCAAAATTTATTAAGTAATCAATTTAATAAGTACAGAATTTATTATGCTCTTTTAGAAATTGTAAGTTCTTTTACATAGCCTAATAATAAATTCTATTGTTTTAAATGAATATAAGTATTGAATTTAGTACAACAATTCAATTTGTATGCAAGTTGTGAATAAGTAAAATATTACAATTATTTAAAAATACTCATACATGACAAAAATATTGAACTATCGTAAAATATCTTAAGTACAAAAATAGGTAATATTCATAACTAATTAAATCATCTTATGTTAATGCTAATCACACAAGACTGATTCTGCTGAAAGCAAATTTGCAATGTTGTACATGACATGTTAGAGAGAAAACAAATTGTAATTGAGTGTGCTCTAATAATTTGTCAAGTATATTTCTTCAATATAATTATAAAATGGAGATTATTTAGAAAACTTACTTTTGACTTACTCTGCAATTTTTTAATCACAAAAGAAACTAACAACATTGGATGACTTTAAATCTAGACAAGTAAACTTAAAATATTTAAACAATAAATAAATAATTTTAACTCTGAATAACTCCTTTAGGATAAATCGAGGGATAAATTTGGAGAATTAAATAGTAAATTAAATAAATGTTATACTAAAAAAAATGATGACAATTAAAAGTAAACAATTTAGAAACACTAAAAAAATATTTAATAATTACTGTACAAAAAACACATATTTTATTCTTTCTAAGATTATTAAGAAAATAATGGTTATTTTATCTTCAATTAGGTTTGGTAGTTATTGTCACTAGGCTTGGACTTATAGCTCTAAAGTTTCAAATATACAATAATATAACCTAATACATTTTGAAATAAGTGTTATATACTTATAATATGCTTTAACAATGTATATAATGTAACAGGAAGACCAGACAAATATAATTTTGTTTAATCATTATATTAAAATGTTTGTTTATACATAATTAATTGACTGTTGCATTACAAGTATAATATAACATTTTTTTCTTTACACTGAAAATATAACATTTTTTGTTTGAAAAATTTAAAACAGCCAATTTTGTTAATTAAGTTTGTACGTAAATGTAATTGTAAAAATAGTTATTTATGTCATGTAGCTTATTTTTTTACTTTTTTTAAAATCTCAATATGTTTGTTCAATTTTGTTGATCCAGCCATGCAAAAACATTTTAGATTAAAAAAATATATATTTATTTAAAATGGTTTCTATTTTAAAATTTACAATTTTTTAAAGAAGTTGTTACTTTTCAAATAAATGAGCTACTTTAGAAAATGTTGACATTTTAAAAATTAGAAAAAATAAACCTGACAACTGACAAATTGTTTACAATCAAGTCTTCTAAAATCAGGTTGATAAATTTTTTGTATTGAATTTTTTAGTTTCAGTATTAAAAAATAAAAATGTTATATTATGGGTGTATGTAGCACAAGCATCACTAAATTGTATGCCTATAACATTTTTTTTTAAATATTCATTAAAACAAGTTATTGAATTTGTCAAGTCTTCCTGTAACACTCTGTATAACAAAGTATATTTTATTAATTATTATGTATCACTGGATAAAACCAACGGCTATGGCACTATGACTGGGCCGTACAAAAATTAGCTAGGCATAAAAACGGAAACAATCCAAGTAATGGATATTAAATTGTACTTTGATCATATTTTAATGTTGTTAGCATGACATACAGTAAAAATCAACTACCAACTACTTTTTTGACACCCCAACTAATTTAATACATAAATGAAAGCATAATATGAAATCATATTAATTAACACAGTATGAACCAGTATTGATGAAGTGATTTAAAATGTTTTCCAATTAGGTATATACTAATAATAAACACAAATTAAAATTATTAAATACTCACCGACATTAGATGGCCACACAGTGATGTGAGGATGTGAATGATACCAGCCAATAACGTTCAAGTTAGCACCTTTGACGCGGGAGAAGTGTTTGGCATCTTCCATAGCATTTACCAAGTCTTCAGACATGATTTCAACGCGATCCTTTTTGATCTCTCCACGGGGCGGTATCGATAGCGCCGACACAGACACAGTGGTCCCATTTTCATGTATTATTTTCTAAAAAAAAACCAACAATGACTATGATGTAATGGACACGTTTGTGGGAAGCAATGGCAAAAACTGGCATCAGCAAGCTTACCTGGCCAATGAGCAGAGCGGCAACCTCTTCTTTTTCCGTGAGCAGCGCCAAGTTATGGCACATCAACAATACCTCGTCCGATATGAAGACGTCAGTGAGCTGATCCAACTGTTTATTCATGATTGCGGCTGTGCTCAGACTCCGCGGCCGATTACACACGACACCGATGGACGTGCCGATGTGAAGACTATAGGCGGAAAACAAAAGTCAACGAATTTAACTCTAGTGAACACTATGAAACTACGTCACAGTGGCAGTAGATGCAATGCTGATCAATAGTAACATGCAATTTTCATCGCGTAAAGATCTCGTCCTCAGTACCAGTGTAGTGAGAGATCCGCGCTAAACGAGTGCGCCGCAGTTATCAATGTGCCGCCTTACACAGATAACGTTATCATTATTATTACATATTGTTATTATTATTATTGTGTAAGCATTGTGTGGTGATCCACAATGATAACACATGTAAGCAGGAAATCATCAAGCAATGTTATTGTAATTTATATTTATCATGATTCATGATTAATTATTGGCTATACACCTATATCATGGTATTCAATATTTATCCAAGTCTTGAGTGAATATTGTAATGACGTGAACCTGTGAAGGTATGAGTAACGAAGAAAGAAAACTAAAAGTTTCCTCAATATCGCTTGTCCTCTACCCTCCCGACTCCCACCAGTGGTGGGCCACAACCACCCGTATGTATAAAATCGATCACCGAACGAAATGACTGTTATTTGTTAGGGATTGGGGGCGTTCTTTGCGTCTCTCATTTTGTCGTTTTCGTTTTTATTTATTTTTCCTCACAATCGATGCCGGGTTGCCTAGATACGGTTAGTCACGTACGAAAACAATTTGTTTACACAACTAAAAAAAAATCGCCTCTCGATTAGTCGTATGATATTCATAACCGCGCCACTAGCCGCGCTGTTCCGTCCCAATCACTCGTCATCAATCTAGTAGGTAAACCAGTGATCGTTTTCATCGGTAACTGGAAAAAACCTCGAGCAGCACATAACATCTCTTGCTTTTTGGCCGTGATACACTATATACTCGATTCTGTGCCAATCAGTTGGTGTTTGTCATCGATTCGACGACTGCTGCTTCGGCTTTAGGTTGGTGTGCACGACCGCCTTCGTGTGTTTAAAGAGGACGATATTATGTTACTAACTAGTTCAATGTCTCTGTCTTACATGTCATGTCACTCACACTTATATTGTTCACAATTGCTGTCCACTCATTTCAGAGACGGAAAATGTTGCTTTTCTTATTGGAGTAATTCATGAGGTGTCAAAAGCAATAAAGAATAAGCATAAGGAATGGAGATTTAATGAGTTGTAATTTGTGACGTTGTGATCCAAAGCTCACCCCTCACTCTATACTAACCCTATCGGTCCTTGTACCCATTCTCTCGCCGCGTTTATGCTTATCAAATGGTTAAGTCTCTACTCTGATCTCATGAATTCTTTAGAGAATCCCACTGAATTTTCTGTGTTTAAAATATAGAAACCAATTTACTACTAATAATACATAAGTATTGCACATACTACTAGGTACATGGGTTTTGATAATGTTGGTTGTTGTAGGTACTTTTATTTTTGAGCGATTTAAAAAAATATAATCTGAATATTTAGCAGCAGGACGGTTGAGACATTGAATGTATGGCTCTCTATAACACCTTTAAACATGATTCATATTTTTCTTTAGATTGTTGTTGTTATTATTGGTAGCACCTAAGTCAGTATAAATATGCCAGCCACAAACCGGAAAAAGTCTGGAGGCAACAAATTTGAGTTCAGTGAAAAACAGATGGCTGATATAAAAGAAGCTTTTGAATTGTTTAATGTAGATGGATCTGGGTCAATCGAAACCAAAGAGTTGAAGGTATTTGGATACATCAATAGATTAAATTTATTTACCTTAAGTCCATTGTTTCTGTTTTAAAGTTAACTATGGTTACTATACATTAGTGAAGTGAAGTAGTATGGTAGAAATGTGGGTTGGAAATTCTCTATATGTATATAATAAACTTTATTAACATTTTAGGTAGCCATGAGGGCCTTGGGATTTGAACCAAAAAAAGAAGAAATCAAACGTATGTTACTTAACATAAATAAACAACACACTGGTAAGTCATATTTTTAATGTATACATTTAGATTATACGTACCTAGTTTTTAAAGCAGTATAACAATAATTAATATTTAAAACATTATTTAGGTGTTATAACATATGATGATTTTGTCACTTTGATGTCCATAAAAATGGCAGATAAAGATTCTAGAGAAGAAATTATCAAAGCTTTTAAACTGTTTGATGATAATTGTACAGGAAAAATAACATTTTCCAATTTAAAACGTATTGCCCAAGAATTAGGCGAGAATATTGCTGACGAAGAACTTCAGGTTAATATAAATTGTTTTTAACATACATGTATTATAAACTAGTTCTAATTTACACACTTAAGTTGTTTAGTTTAAGGGATTGTAGTGATTGAGTGGAATAAACTCTTTGGTTTATAACCCACGGGCAGTCTTTCATAGGTAGGAGCTGCTATCCAAAGTGAAACTGCCTACCATTATGCAGAAGTAAAAAAACCCAAGTATACAACCTTTTATACTAGAAGTTCCCAAACTTTTCACAGTTGGACCTATTCTGAAATATGTTCAAAATTTGGCAATCCACAACATATTTATCGTTTTTTTTTATTGATCAGTATCAGCACACTATCTTTTAGTCTTGACAGCCTTCACTTGTACACTTCTTGTTGTGGATAATGATCAATTATAAGACTTAATTCTAGTATCAATATATACAATATACTTGGAAAATAGTAATCTTATATTAAATATTTTATTTTAGAAAAAAATATAAAAATGTTTCAAAACTTAATGGGATCCATCAAAAATATAATCACAGCCCACTTTGGGTTTGCACTCAAAGTTTGGAAACCTCTGGTCTACACTGTTACAATTGCAAGGGCTTTATAAAAATGAAAAGTATTTAATAACTGAAAAAAAGCCTATAAAATATAAATAAAAAGGAAAAATTTAGTTAATAAATATTGTACTGTAGCCAAGGTGATTTATTATCTAGTAATTATGGTAATGGGTATCTTAAGATAGAGTGCAATCAGTCTTTTGAAATTATAACTGGTTCATTAGAAACTTAACTGCTTAGTATCAGTGAAAATAAAAATATTTTAATTACTTAACTAGGTATATTAACTGATGTACTATGGAATTACTGTCAGTATAAAAATTAAATTAAATATAATTAAGAAAAAATTAACAAAAATTAGTTATGACCCATTCAAAATAAAATCCTGAATTTACATAATGACATAAAAAACTTTTATATAAAACTAATTAGGTATATTTTGATTGTGATATGATTATTGTAGGAAATGATTGATGAAGCAGATAAAGATGGCGATGGAGAAGTCAGTCAAGAAGAATTTCTTCAAATTATGAAGAAAACCAATTTATATTAAATATATATTACAACCCTGTTCTATCAAAAACATATTATTTATTTTCTGTACACACTATTTTGTATAAATTCTTCACAGTTACCATTTAAAATTAACTTCCTAACACTTTATATTTTGTGGGCAGGTCATATTTCCTTCATACATTAAAAACATAGAATTTTTCCTCAAAAGAATAGTTTCATAATAATTTAAGTTCAAATGAAAACATTCAATTCAATTTTTTTCTGAAAAATCAGTGTTTTAATATTTTACATACCAATTATTAAATAATAGTATTATTTTTCAGTATTTTTTGTTCAATCATAGGTATAATATTTATTACCCTAAAAATATAATGTAATTTAATAAAATATTATAACCAACATTTAGAGAAAAACTATTTGACATTGGTCATATTTCTAAAAATTGGTAATAATTTTATTTTTTGATGCAAAATGTTTTTTTTATTTGAAGGAAATTAGTAATGGCTGTTTTTGTTGTATTCATCACATAAGAGTTGATTATATTAAACATTACCTTATAGTTTAAAAATAAAGCAAGAGAAAAAAAACCCGACTTTTAATTTATTGTGTTAAACGTTTATATATTTGTATTATTAAAAGGTAAGAGGCAATAATTTAATTTAAACAACTAATGACAATAATTTTTAAAATCAAGTTACTTAAAAAATGATCTTAATAATTTAGCTTCCTGTGCCATCTCATCGTCGCTTCTCTTTGGATCAACGCAGTATTTTTCATTTTGTAATTTTCTGTATACATCATCATTCACCAAAAAATCTCCAGACTTTCTTGGAATAATATGAACATGAACGTGCTAATAATAATAACAATAATAATAAACATTAAAAACATATTGTAATGTTTGATGATCATGGTCATAATTTAAAATATTTCAATGAAATTAATACTTTTGAACTTAAAGTCACATTTTAATGGTTCAATATATATTTATTAAAATAACAGTTTAATAGTAAAAATATTTTTATTTATTTTATTTTGGTTAAAAATTAGACACATTAATTATTATGTAATACATATTTAACAGTAAATACTTTTAGGATAGAAATAAATGTTTCAAATCTTATCTAACTTTAAAATATTTTTATTCATGAGCTTTAATTTTATAATAATTATAATCATAATTAAATCTAAACTCTAAGCGTATAGATAATTTTAAAAGATACCATATCAATAATTAGAGTAACAAATGTTGGTATGGAAACAAAATAATAGGTAGTATTTAGGATGAATATTTTAGAAAAACTAAATTATCAATTTCTTATACAACTTTGTACATGAAACCAGGAATTAAGAGATTTTTACATCTAATAATTTAACCACAATATCTAATATATTAAAATAAAATTAATAATACTTACTTTAATAGTTTGTCCAGCATGTTGCCCATCTTGAATAACAATAGATGATGAATCAGTGTTGTGTACTTGTTCAATAGTTTTTTGAACCTTTTGAACTGTAAGGAATAGATCTCCAACTTCATTAGTAGATAAGTCGGTCAATTTTTCCACAGCTCTAAGAGGAGCCACTAGAACATCTAGTTATTGATACTTAATGAAAAAATTACACAGAAAAAATAATTCAATTATTATAGTTTTAATAAATTTTAAAAGGATACGTCCTGGTAAAACACATTTAATGTTGGTAAATGCTAAGCATAAAAGTGTTTTGTAAAATACTTGTAAACCTTTAACTATAGATGAACCAAATTTAAATTCATCAAAATCCTCAATAGACTTAGTCCTACATAAGGTACTTGGAATCATTTTTGGGTAAATATCATATCGTCTATGACATTCCAGAGGCATTGACTGACGAATACTTTTAATTAATGATAAATCAATTGGTGCCAAAACAAAACCAGGTTCTTCAGAACATTGTGCTATTACTGTTCCTAGTGGATCAACTACCTACGCAATGTTCAATTTAAAACTATTTACAAATTAAATAGTAATCAAACAAACCAGTGAGTGGCCCCAAGATTTTCTAGTTGAGTTATGACTGCCGGTTTGTGCAGCAGCAATTACATAACACTGAGTTTCAATGGCTCTGGCTCGCAATAATATCTCCCAATGATAAGCACCAGTCCCAAAGAAAAATGCTGATGGATATGTTAAAATTTCTGCTCCATTCTCAGCTAATGCAATAGCCATCTGAGAAAATCTCATATCATAACACTGAACTTTTGTATAAAGAAATATTTTTAAATGCATAAATAAATAATGGCAATTAATATAATCATTTTAAATGTAGGTATTTAAAAATTGATTTTTAATGTTAAGTAGACTAAAGTGGTTTTCGTATGGTACTATATTACAGAGCAATTATTATTTTATTGAAACAATATATAGTTGGTTTATGATCAATAAATGAAAATAACTTAAGATTTATTTTAGAGAAACATTTTGGTATAAGTGTAAAATGAATATTTTTTATAAAATAATTGTGTACATAACCATTACTTTATTGTAATCAACATTGTTATTGTACACTTTAAAAACTGTTCAGCTGAAATATAAGTTATAAATATGATTTAATTAAATTTAATGGGCATGTATAATTTATTGTAACTTAATTATTAGATAAAAAAAAAGGATACAATTGCTAAACCAACATTCCCAATTGGAGTTTTAACTGGTGGTGAGATTTCAGTACCAGATTTAATTAAATTTGATTCAAATGCTTGGATGTTTTTTGAAGGTATCTGTACATCATATAAATGTATTTTATGATACGTTTCAGCTATTTCTCCTTTATTGTTGATAACCAAATGCGTGTTCTTTAATTTAGTTTCTGAAAACTTAAAAATAATTTAATAGGTACATTATAAATTAAATATGAAAATAGAAACTAATATAACTAATAAATAAAGCACTTAAAAGACCTTAAATCTTTGTATAACCACAATCATATTTTGGATATTTAATCAATATTTGAGACATTTGTTGAAAATATGAATATAGACTTATTTAATATTTAAATAATTGAATCTTAAACTCAATATTTTTGTTGAAACAAGTACAAATTAATTTAGTTTAATAAATGAGAAAAATAAAATGAAAATTATAAAATTGTACAAGCCATAACTTAATTTAAAGAGTTGATGCTTGAGAATAATGCAAATTATATGTTGGAACTATAAAATGTTTAGTAGGTCATAACTATGAAATCTTTCTAAAAGGTTGGGCCAATTTTGATGACATTTTTTGTTTGAGTGGATCCAACCTGAAGAGGTGCTCACACAAGGATTTTGATTTTGTTTTATTCATAAATAGTTGCTAGTTGCTACTAGTTACAGTTTACAGATTATAAAAGTAATAGAGGAAATAATTTTTTGTTGTTCATAAATTGTCTCCCCTTGGGAGTTCCTGGATGATTCAGACACAATTGGACGTGACAGATAATGCTGAAATAATAGTTTCTAAGAAATGTATTATTTATTGCTGGGGGTTCTATACCAAGGTAGCTAAAAGAGAACACATGGATAATTTATTTTTCATTCTACAAAAAAAGAATATTTAAATAATTATCATTGACTATATATATATACATTAAATACATCAATTTAATACCATGATTTGTGTGTATTACAATAATCTGTTTACAGTATTATAATTACGACAGTAGACCAAACTTTTGATTTAAACTATTATACCTATTATTGTTAATGATACCTAAGGGGTAAGGATAAATTGAGATGACTGTGTGTCAACTCTAAAGCTATACCTAATAAGTTGATTTAAACGGTTTAATGTATACAAAGCTAAAAAGAAATATTCCAAAAAAATGGGTCAGAATTATTTTCCTAATATGATAAAGGTACACAGGAAAAATTAATTAATTAAAATATGAATAATTGATGGTGAAATTATGTTTCATTACTTCTTGAAACATAGTTCAACAGAGAATATGTAGAGCTCAAAGAGGGAGATTCGATTGAATATAATTGGGAGCTTAAGTCTTTCTTTTCAAAATAAGAAGTAGGGTAATTTTCGATATTTTTTTTTTTGGGAGGGGGAGGGTTAAGCCTCCCAACAATCTCTATTTTATGAGGTTATATCTATTTATTATTCACTATTTACTATGTGTTTGAATAAATTCTTATATTTTGTTGATTAACTATGTCTAATTTACAAATCCTACAAATAATACATTTATTTGCATTGCATTAAGATATGTCTATATTCGCTTAAAATTTTAAAATTGTACAACAATAGCATTCACTTGTTACTGTTTTTTTTAATCTAATATATTTACCAACAAATACAACAATTGTATTAATGAATGTGGTTGTCAGTGTTGCTTATACTTTAACATATTATTAATAGCATTAAGACTAAATGTCTACTTGTTTTGTTTATTAATAAAAAATTAAAATTATTATTACCTTTTCATGAAATCCACCTAAAGACAACCAAATATTCAACGTTTTAGCTAATGTTTTATAATTATTGATAAGAGATCCATCTACAGATTCTGCCATCTCTAATGATTTAGCTTTATCTTCTTCAATGTAATCAAAGGACTCTGGCAAGAAAACCATCTGGAAATAACAAATTAATAACAATTACCTATTCATTTGTAAGACATGACGTCATACTATCCATACTTACTTTAGCTCCACATTTTTGGGCATTAGTAATCAGTGCTTTGCACGCTTGAAAGTTTTTTTCTTTATTGCCAGTTGATGTAATTTGACAAACAGCAATAAGATTGTCCATGTCAGAAAATGTATTTTTAAAAATTGAATACAAACGTTTGATTAACATCTGACAACTGTGACAATTTTAATTGACTCTTCTCGTAATTAACAACAATAACGATTAGTTAAGTAATTACGTACCAATGACGTTCGAGTAGGGAAATAGCTGTGGGATTAACTGTATTAAGAACTTGATATCATCATTTTAGAATATTATTATTTATAATCATTTGTTTCAATACATACTTACTAGGTAATAACTATTATCATGCCCTTGTCATTTAATATTTTAATTGTCGGTGATTGTATTTACCTACCAATCGTTCCACAGTATTGTCGGGTTTTTGAATTATCGCGTAGTGTGTTTAGTCATTAGACTTGAATGTATCTAGTCTCCTCTAATATTTAATCCTCTGAACTCAACGATTTTTGACAAGACACAAATAATACTGCAAAGTGCAAAGATAAGAAATTAACATTTTCAACTGACTGCACTAGTGTAGTAGTGTACATGGGTGGCATGATAATGATCATAATATAAACAATGTATGATTTAAGCTTTTTGACGGTCAGATCCCTCGATAAGCATGTGGCGTAGCGTAATGCATAGTACTAGAGCAGTAATAATTAAATAACAATAATATATTATAATACGGGTATGCAAATAGCGTATTGCTCGGACTTGAACCAAATCTGGAATTTTAAGATCTTACCATGTTGTTTATCTCATGATAATGATTAATATCCCAAGTATAGATAAGACAAATTCCATTCAACAGTTTATATTGTGTTTATGAATACCATATTACAAGGATATATTGTTATTTTCAATTTTGAAGTAAGTTATGATCGTTTTTACATTTTCAAAAAGTGTAATTTAAAAATGGGGACCTGAATAATATTCTTGTCTTCGAATTTTGTTATAGGTAAATTTACTCTAATTTTAGAAATTATTAGTAATAAATTACAGAGTAAAATGTAGGTATTATTGTGAACGTAAAATTTGACATGTTGTACGTTTGTAAGACGGAGACAACAAATGCCGATGTGGCGCTCTCACTCACACCTACTACCTACACATCCCACTAATTTTATGTTTTAGTTGTCACTTGTCACACTAAGTCGCCACTCGCCGCGCCGACAGCCGACTACTCACTACCTGTCGACCGCGTACTGTGGTCTGTGACCCGTCCGACTGTTACGTTTTTAACAAGACAACATTTTTAACATTATTGCGTTTTGGAGTGTTAAAAAAAAAACATGAGCTTTCTCAATAATTATGCCAAAACAGTTTTGAATAGGCTGCAGGTCACTGGCTGCTGACACGGCTAAATTCAATGAATGTGCCGCACAATGAACATACAAAGCATTAGGATATTTTGCTTTTATCACTGACTGAACACCTTTGATCCTGCCTGCCATATTCATGGCTCCATCATACCCTTGCCTGTACAGATAACTGCAGTTAATTCCACAAGCAGCTAATCCTAAATTAAATGTTAACCATATTTAATAATTATTATTAAACTAAAGTTACAAGTTTTTAATAATAATATAGTTAGGTACCATTTAATATAGATGTTGCTAAATCCACACCACATAGGCTTTCAATAACAAAAAATTGCAGAAAATCTTCATGTAATATATTTTGATCATTCATATATCTAACACAGTAACACATACTGAAAGCTGTTCAGTTGTAGATATATCAGATGTTTCATCTACTAAAATAGAGAAGCATTTTGACTTATTCACACTGTCTGCAATTCTTCTCATTATTATAGTATTGCAAGCATCTATTATCTCATTTTGAATAATAGGACATTGGGACTGGTATAACGTCGGTTCCCTTGTCCATGTTCTTCGAGAATATGTTTTAGATATTCATTGCCTTTCGCTCTATATTTTAAAATTGATCTGAAATTTATCCCTCTGTATTCATAGTAGAATTGCCAAAATTTCAAACCTCATAGACATTTTTTTGATAGGACTAACCAATAATTTTAGATTTTAAGCCATTCATAACAGCGACTTTCAAGACAAATAATGTACAGCAGATTGACATCCATTTATAATATTTAATAATAAAATGAAAAAAAAAAACTTTATGTCCATAAACTAATAACTTTGATTGTATTTATGTTTTATTGTTATTATTTTGTTTGTACTTGTACTTATACTTACTCCAAACACAAACTATGGTTATTGGAGGGGTATCATCTAAACTTTCTGTTTTTCCTTTTCTTTAAAATTTTATTTGATGATAAATAAATATTATTATTATTATGTTATTCAAGTAATAAAAATTAATAAAAATAAAAATACACATAGGTGACCTCTATTGTGTATTTCCGCTTTCCAATCATTAAACCTCGTGAAGTGTAAGTATTAAATATCTGTTTTGTCTTTTTAGAATGTTCCTGGTGCATTCTGACTTGATGGTACCCTTGTGCCAAGTTCAACGTGTTTAATACTTAGACTTACCAAGCTAATCTAAAATGTTTGTTATATTTGGCAGCGGATAAGCATCTCTGACTAATATTTGGTTAGGTTAAATATATTTGAAGCACAATTAGGTTATTAATTATATAGGTTTTATTACTGGTTTTAACTTTAACTAATTGTACAAGAAATATAAAATAATCTTCTTAAACATACGTTATGTATAATGCTTTGTGGAAATACGACTGACTGACCTCCTCCCTGTGTGTCGGCCGGCGACCCTGTCGGACGCCGAATCGTCTAGTCAGCGGATTCCTGTTGACGAGCTGTCGACTAACACACTATTCTTATACTGTTAATATTATATTATATGAGAACATAAAATAGAATATTATTCAGGGGTTTACAACAACATATTCACTATTCAGTATTAAACATTAGATACTTAGGAACTGTTAACAGATATATTTGGGATGGAATTATATGGGACTTGAGTCATATAAATTAAATACTTACATCTATCCTTAAAAATTAGTACCTAATTTATTTTAATGTTTATAGTTTACTACATACATAATTATTAATTTACAATTATTAAGACAGATAATTACAAATAAGAAGTTTTATTTGAATAAAGTTATGGAATGCTTTGAAATGTTTTAGTATCAGTATTTTTCTTAATCAGTGTATCATTGCTTAGAGTCCGTTGAATTCTGAAACAGAGTTATTTAAAATATAAATAAAAACAACATTATTGAAAATATAGGCTTACAATATGATACTTTAATATACTAACACTATAACCATAATATCAAGTAATAGAACTATACTTGTTGTAAATATTATTGTAATCCAAAATATGGATGAACTAAATATGATTTCATTTACATTGATGAACACAGTAAAATGCGTTAAAATCTTCTTTAACTCACTAAATAATAAAACAAAACAGAAAAACTATAAGTAAATCATTTTTAAAATAGAGGAATCCTTATTAATAATCATAAAATTATTTAAAACAATATTGAAAGCCTGACTGTTGAACAGATACAACTAGGTACAAGCAGGCAGGGCAAGCGCCAGATAATATTCATGCATAGGTAAACTCCACATTTTTCGCCCTTTTGTTTCGTAACCCTATTAGATCTAGTCTAAGCATATTAATCTCTATCTAGTCTGTTTCAAATCACATTAAACAACTTAGAACATTATTTATTCAATCTTGATTCCTGAGAGGTACTAGCTGGCACTTTTAGAAAATAATTAAAAATGCTATCTTTTTGTTAGGATATTCCTTAGCATAATACATTTTTCTGGTACTTGGATCCTAATATTTGATTCCATGTAGTTAGACATTTCAGGTGAAATTAAATGTTTATTTTTTTTTTTGGAAATTCTAAGAAAAAATTTTAATTCAGTTAAGCATAATTCGCTGGTGTAGTCATTTTTTGTTGTCATGTCATAATTGTAATAGGTAATAAATATATACCTATACAAATAAACAATGTTTATTACACTATCTATAATTTATTTCATATTTAGAATCATTTTTTTAAGGTTTAACTTTCAGGGTTCTTTTTCTCGCCAATTTGTTATGCGTAGACGTTTTTTATACGGCTATAACTAAACGTGTGGCTGTGTAGGTACCTACTGAGCGCGAACACAAAACACTTGCAGTTAATATCTGTTGAAACTTAAAAGTTATTGTATCAATAACTTTTATTAAAAAACAGTCATTGAGACTTGACAAAATAATATATACATTGCATGTAACTTAAGAGGACGTTATACACGTATACCCATGTGTGCCCACTTTTTCACCTTTTAAAATGGTCAAAACTTGCTTCAAAATTAAAATATAAAAATAACCTTTTGAGATAGGTATCTGCCCTATATACTATTCTCACCTTTAAATTTGATAATAGGTCAATATTAAAATTAAAAATAACTGAGGAGAAAGTATTCTTTCTAATAAACAATTGTCAATGTCATGCTTTAGTAAATCGGAATCAACACATGAGGGTATGACGTCCTTTTAAAGTTTTAACTATAGGTACTCTGTGCCAGAATAGAACATAACTGTTTTGGCGTTTTGCGCATGGTCATTGACGGCAGCGACCCATCTGAGGTCCCACTTCCCACACTTCGTGCAGTGATGGTATAGATTGTGTATGCATATATTATAGCGCCGACCGTTGCCGAAGTTACCAAACATTTGTTGTTGATTGGGGGATGTGTGGGATTGGAGGTGTTTTGTGTCAGGTCAATTAAATGCTCTCTTCTAGCTCAGAGCATAGTACAATTTTATTTATACCTATTACTGTAAATAATTAATTAGGTAAATATATTACTTGTCAACTATTATGAATAAAATCCATAATAGTATTGATACCCATATAGCTAAGTGTACGATTAAAGACCATGATTGAATATGTAAACCAGCCTTGAAACACACAATGATCAACGTACACTAAATGAATAATAACAAATAATATTATTAAAATAGATAATGGATATAAAATATGACATAGGTATTATATTGTAGATCATTATGTTATTTGTATTACAGTGTACATGATGTTTCCAAATAGTGAATAATCGCCTACTCTCCCTGTAGTCCATATAACTTCATGCCTCATGATAAATAAGCACAACCAAAATAAGAGTATCGAGTGAAACAAAGCGTTAAATATCCACATCCAAAACATTTTAAAATTAAACACATTTTGTGTTTGACAGTACAATTTTGGACATTTTAATCTCTTTTCTGTTGAGCATGTAGTTAGAAATAATCCCATTACAAACGGTAGAGAAACTGTAAATAACTAAATACAAAAAAAAAAAACCATTATCACCTGATTATTAGTTTTAATTTAAGAATCTCAAATACCTTCCAAAGATTTGTCATTGATAGGTTAGGTTAGGTTAACCCAACCTATCACAAGCTGTATACTTACATAACAAAAGCTAAAAGTCTTATAATGTGCACATAATTTTACTTTTATAAATCTATGACTGATTAAGGATGACTAAATTGTCATTTTAACTGAATACTTACTGATTTGTACATAAAAATATTCCATCTATCAAATAATACTTGACCAGACCACCCAGAATAAATGGCAAACCATAATTGTAAAGAATTAAAAACAACTGTTTTATAGTGATAAAAATACATCATTTTGGTAAGCTTTTCATAATTCCAAGCACCATGCACAAACAATAACTTTAATAAATAATTAAACTGAAAAAAAGTATTAATTTAAACTACTTATGTTACAATTTTTTACTTAATATTAAAATAATTTAGGTTTATTTATTTACTTGAGCAATTGAATAGTCTGAGGCATTATACGCTTGCAATCCGTCTAATCCTACTACACCTACACCGATACTAGCTTTTTGGAGCATAGGCACATCATTTACTCCATCACCTATAGCCAAGGTTACTTCATTTGTGTATTTTGTCACGAGATCAACAATCTGTTACATTAATTTCAGAAATTGTAATTCATTTTTTGTTCTTAAAGCTTATTAACATATTATGTGCTAGATTACATTTACACACAACTTATTTTAAAATTAAAATTATTTTCTACTATGATTTAAAAGAGCTTTTATGTATTTCTCATGTAACTAATGTACGATTCTCCTGGTTGTTAATAATTAAGGAAATTCTAAATCTGTAAATGTTGTATAACTTGACAAATACATAATCAATAAGGTTAAAAAATTATAACCACTGAGCAAGTCAGATTTTCAAGTGAACCACAGCTTAATAGGGTAAGATCATCTACCAAAAGTAGGTAAGATCTGAGAAATATTAGGTAATTAGATACTTACATTAAGAATTAGTTGAGCATAGTAATTATGAAACTTTTTAGATAGTAAACATTATTATATAAAGATTTGTGTATTTTATTCCTGGCACTTTGTCAATAGCGCAAAAGAAAAAAACCAAACAAATTACACAAATATAATTATGGGCGAACAAAAATTCATCATTTGATTTGACATTTTTTTAGGTAGGTACCACTATTTTGAATTTCTAGCTAATATGAGTTCATAAATTATAATTTATCATACAAATTACAAATATAGTTTAAATCAGTTTGACACTTACCTCAGCTTTTTGTGTAGGTGATATTCTGTAACAGATAACAGACTTACAATTCAAGCATAACTTGAGAAATTTCATTTTAAGATCACTTGACAATGCATGCTTCAATAATCGTCCGCTTATTATCAATGTACAATTCATTGTTTCGACTGTAAGACCCAGATTGTATATTTTTTGATTTATAGTGTGTCTGAGATCCTTAAAGTTTATTTAAATTAGATAATTATGTATAATTTTAAAATCATTTTAACCACTTCTAACATATAATCTACCAAAAAAAAATTTGTCTTGCTTTTTGTATAACAGATCCATAAATATCAATCTAAATAATATTCATCTTCATTGTCCAACTTAAAGCTTTTAATAAAATATTAGATAGTAAAGTATAATAGACATAATTTCCAATGTTTTAGAAAATACATTAGTCATTTATTTTATATAAGTAGATATGTTGGTACTAATTTTAAATTATAACACTATTCATTTTAACAAACTTAATACTTTTAAACAAGTACAATGATATAATTAACTTTCAAAAATATTTTTGATTTTGATTTCAAAGATTTTATTTTAATGCTTTAGTCATTAAGATCTTCAATTACTCCACTGGAATTTAAAATTGATTTTTTAGTCTATTAGTTCTAATATTATGATAGATAATATTTAATAAGTAGGTAAACATCTTAACATTGAAATAAGTTAAAATAATTAGAAGATGTTATTGTTACCTATTTATTTTATTAAACTTGATTGATTGATGATCTATAATTTCTTCCAATTGTTTAATTACACAAGAGTATGTAGATTACACTGATTTATATATTTTACGTGGCCATATGTCTCTACTAGGCTTTATTATTAATGAAAATATCTTTATTTTTTTTTACCAACTTCAGATTAAATGATCACAAGAATTTTAAAGAAATTATATCTTACTTTTGCATGTTTTTTTCAAATCATCTTGAATATTGGTACTGATATTAATCAAACATTCTAAAAAATACTACCTAGCTACCTACCTACTAAAACCATTGATAACTAAGTATCTATATTATTTATCATTTCACTCAAAATCTTGAGCATATAGTTGTAGGGAAACATTTTAAAACTCCACAAAAAAAAATTATTTTTCTAATAAGTAATCAAGATTAAAATTGATTGAATATAAATACCTACTTACTGCCTATCTATAAATTTACCGTTAAATTTGTTTCATTAAAAATAACTATTGAGCTATCTTGTGTAATGAGTGTAGTAGATAATCCAATATTTAATGCTGTTTCTTCTTTATCTCCAGTTAGTATCCATACTTTGATTGCTGCACACATTAATGCTTGGATAGTTTTTGGTACCTGCAGCAATCAAAATATGAGATGTTAAAATAAAAATTAATTTTTGTCATGCACAAAATGTAATTTATAGGTTTGTTCAATAATTGCACAATAATATAATGTTATAATTTAGCATTTAAGTATGACTAAACATAATAACACTACATTACTATATATTATAATAGAACAGTTATTTTATTTTAAGTTTAACTTAACTCCCAGAGCTGGCTGAATTTATTTAAATTTAGTACCTGGATACTATTAAGTGGGGAGTAGTGGACTTAAAATATAATGTATACGATACAAAAATATTTAGGTTGGTATTGATAAATTAAAACTTAAAAAAATATGTATTCTCTAATCATTAATTATTAAATACATTGTACATATTTTCAAACTCAGAACAAATAAGCTGTAATATTATCACTCCTCCATTTATTTTTACTATTTTACTTGATAAACACCTAAGTCCTAAGATAATGGGTGCAAATTAGCTGTCATACGTGTGTAAGACTTTGACGACACACGAGGGTACGGCATGCTCTTAAGTCTCAACGAGTAGATACCTATCAATTATAGGTACTATTGTTTATCTAAATAAATCTGAACTGTTGATATTACATCTTAATCATGCCCACAATGGCAAAGGTTTTTATTACGACAATTATAATATACTACATTACTACCTACCTGTTAAGATAGATTTTACCTAAATAATTAGTACCTATTCTAAAAATGAAGATAATATGTTTCATAATAAAAAAAATTAAAAGTTTATTGGTAATATTTACTCTATCTACAATAGTACCTAATGGAGAAACTGAATTTTACATAAATTCAAAGTATAATATTTATGCTAATAACTAGAGCTCGGAAGTTATAGGAGCTAAATAGTGAAAAATATGAATGAAAAATTGTAAAATATGCACGAAAAAATGTCGAATATGTAAAACAAAATGCAATAGAAATTCATAAATATTAATTTAAATTCTAAACTCTAAAAAATATATTTTATGTTATTATAAATTTGCACTCAGCAATTGTTAGATATTTTATAAGATATCATAATATGTATTAACCAACGTTGTCTTGTAATTTATTTTCAATTGCAGTCACACCAATTAGCGTCAGTTTCTTTTCTATTTTTTCAGCTACTTTATTTTTGGCGTTTTCTCGATTTATTAACACAGTTGATGCATTGAGATATTCATCTTTCCACCTGTTATAAAAGCTCTCAGAAATATTCTTATATGCGAAGCATAATGTTCGATAACCCGAGCGGGCAAAATCATTTAAATGCATCATGGTTTGGTGTTTGTGCTTTTCCCCAGATTTTGATAGGCGTTTAATAATACCGGTATCTGCGCCCTAGACATATTTTAAGTGGGTTAAGAAAGTTATTTCAAATAATAAACATAAATATGATATTTATTGTCATTAGTACTACTTTGCAAAATAATTTTATTTGACCATCAGGCGTTCGAACAATAACTGACATTCTTTTCCTAGAATTTGTGAACTCTATTGTATTTAAAATTTCATAAGTCTCCTCTCCTTTTAATGTAGTAATAGTCACTGATGTTGGACAACGAGTATGAAATGTAAATCCGAATTGTTGAGATCCAATGACTAATGCTTGTTCATCTAATGTTAAGCATACAAAATTTTGGATCAATTATATTGTGAAACAGTAAACTAAAATTTAAAAAAAATTAATGGAACTATATGATTTTTTAAAAAAATCTGAATATATTATAGTTAATTTATACCCAAATATAATATTAACAAAATATTTGAAAAATAGAGATACATATGAGTAGGTATTAGGAAATAAAATGCATTATAATTGAATGTGTATTGTACTATTGTTATATATATTTTAACAATATATACACAATTTCACAGTTTATAGTCTACTACAAACATAAACATTATACACATGCACCTACCTGTGTACGTGCATACATACAAATATTTCTTAGTGCATGAATACACATAAAATATTCTTAGTTGAAAAAATAAAATGTAGTGGTGTATTTGGTATGGTAAACTAACCTAACATAAGTAAAACCAAAATAATGTAAATATATGCCTGGATCATTCTTTTATTTTTGGAAAATCATCAGTAATGGCCTTTTTAAAAGTTTATTCAATTTGAATAAATCGATAAGATCTTCTATTATTTTACTAAATTATCATTATCTTTCGACCTCCAAAAGTACACCAGTTGTGTGCTTGTGTCTGATAGTTTGTATTCTAGTTAATGTTGTTATTATTGTTATTGTAATAACTTGGTCAAATTTTGTTTTTTTATACTTTCGGGAATGATAAAATATAAAATAAATGAAACTGAATTAAAATCAGAAATGAGGGTTAGATAATTAATTATTAGAAAATATTAACACTTATTAAAGGAATTAAAAGTGGCTAAAGGGTATTGTTCAAAATCTATTTAACAAATTTTAATAAAATGTTACATTTATTAATTTCTGATCCAACGAGTTTCACAACTAGTGATAGAACATTTGCAGCAAAATTTTTTATCGACATTGTTTTTAAAAAAACAAATGATAATCGATAATTTCATATGCCTATAGATAGTTCAACGCGTGTCAAAATATATTGAAAATTGTATGCTGTATAGAAAATGCTAAAACAAACATTCAGTGAAAATTACATGTATCAATACATTTTTTTAGAGTAACACTACAAATCTAAAACGATTTTTTAGGAAACTGGTTTTGCGTAAAAATTCCTATTTTTCCTTAATTTTTTGTTTGCTTTTCCTGTCGTTTTTGAAAACTATTAGGAATTGTAAATTTTGACCTCCCGAATGCACCAACTAGATTCACTTTTCTACCAGAAAAGTTGCTATTGAAGAAAATCAAAGCACTTTTACTGCCCCTAACCGTGATGACAGGCACAAAAACAAAAAAAACAAAAACACTCCTCATAAAATGAATACATCATCACTCGCTTAGAATCTAAAATGCTAGGACAACCCCCCTTAACCTTAAGGTCTAATTAAGCTCATGGCTGTATGGATGAAATGTATCAAGAACAAACATGTCATAGCTAATAGGTACACCTTTAGTATAATATCTGTGGATATTTATGTATAATAACATAATTGTTCACATAAATGTATATTTACCAGGAGATGAAGCATAGTATACTATTTCATCTGTCAGTTTTGACTTCTCTGGAATAACTGTATGGCAGACAGACATTATTCTTAAAAAATCCAAAATATAATTTTTGGTCGAGTGATTGATTGAGTTCTATAAATTAAAAGCTATAAAAAGTAGGCATCCTTAATAATGTTTCATTATTAAGTTAATAATTAAAATTAATTAAGTTAATAATTAAAATTAATTAATAGGTGTAAATATTTAGGTATAATTTATTTATTAGTTGTTCACATGACTTAAATTTGCTTTAAATTTATTAGATCTATGAAATTTATTTATCATGCTACTTATCAAAACCCATAAGTACCTATTAAATTCTAAATTTAAATTTTTATTAAATTTTCAAAATGTTGTTATCTGACCAGTTTGGGTATAAAGTAGATGGGTACCTCCTTTATAAAATAAACTTTTCATTTTCAAATAATAATTTTTGAAGTGAAAACTTCTTTCAGCGCATTTAGCAGTTTTTGTGGGTACTGAATTGTACTGAGCAGTCACCCTCGGCTATGTAACGCTCATTTGGGTGAAGTCGGCTCGAGTGGACTAAGCACGAAAGGAACAGTCAGCAGAGCAAGAGAGAAAGATAGTCGAAGTGTCACTGCTGTACTCGCTCGTCAGGATTCGACTCCTATACTCAATCTGAACTAATCTGAATGAACGTTAGGTTAGGTTAGGTTAGGTTAGGTAACATCAGAGTCGCCAGGTGTTACAGGACGGTATCAGATATGGCGGCGTTGGTCCTGGCCAAAATGCCTCCGGCTTTCCTTCTCGCCAAATCGAAGAAAAGGATAGCCGAGTCCAGGAAGAATGGCAACGTCCGGTCCAAGAAGGAAGATAAGCAAGAGATAGTCTGGGAGTGGCAGTCACTATGGGATTCTTCCCCTGAAGGCAGCGTGGACAAGATGACTAATTCTAGACCTGGCGAGATGGTGGCACCACGAACCGAGTCATGTGAGCTTCCACATGGCCCAGGCGCTCACGGGCCATGAATGCTTTCAAAAGTATCTAAGGTCCAAGGCGAGGGCACATAGTCCGGCCAGCGTCCACTGTATAGCGGATAATGATGATGTGGAGTACACAATTTTTATGTGTCCGTTTTGGGACGAAGACAGAAGATAGCTTAAGGAACTTCTCCGGAGAGAATCCTGCGTAGAAGACGTCACCGAATTGCTCCGTAGACCCTCACCAGAAGAGCTCCCTGCCGACATACTTCTTCAAAGAACTATCGTAGAAGCCAGGTCCAGAATCGCCACGGCATTCTCCAAAATGGTAGCGTTCATTCTGGCCCGCAAAGTGGACTTGGAGAGGAGGAGAAAAGATGCTCAAGAAGCTGTGGCAGCAGATCAACTATACATTTATTTAAGTTAACAACTGTAGGCTGAATGGCCAAAACCAAGGTGGTTAGAGGCCCTCAATGTTTTTGTAAAAATATTAACCTTATGTTGTGTCATGTATATATTATTATTGCATGTTAAAAATGTTGAGTTAATAAACGATGTGAGTGGGGAGGCAGTAATGGGAAGCCATATTTCCCTCCTCGTTTACGATTCCAACATAAAAAAAAAGGTTAGTTTAGGTTAGGCCTCCCGACGGGGCACACCTTGCCATGGCCGGGGGGGGGGGGGCTCACAGGCCATTAACTTGGTCAGTGCTAAGCGGATCCCAAACGCGAACTAGCCCTCACCTTAAGTGGTTAGGGCTTGGACGGCCTTGTCCACCTGCTACCACAAGCCAACAGACTCTAAAGGTAACAGTAAATCCCCTGGCAGTAGGTAAAATGCAAGTGAAGGAAATCACTCTAAACACCCAATATGAACGTTAATAACTGTGATATTGTTACTACATCAGGGGATTCGGAATCCCAGATGCCGGCAGTCGGGAGTGAGCAAACGGGCTCCCGGCGGTCGTCATCCTCCGACCGCAGGACCTCAGGGGTAGACAGCCAGGCTCCAGACGGTCTTAATGCTACTAGTGCTGCCAATTGCCATTCAGGAGTCGAACGGCAGAAGAATGGGCCTGATGATAGGCAGAGGAGTCCCACAATGAAAGCTGAGTTACAGGCCGTCCAATATGCAACCAAGGCGCTGAAATTGCAGCTGGTTACGCAAGATGGAGGGCTCAAATTGCTATTCAAACAGGATGAAGATCTTAAGCTGGCGGCCAAGAAAACACACAGCCCAACGGTTAGCACTGCCATCTCCGAGCTACTGGAAGTCATAGGAGCACTGAGAGACAGCCATGAGTGCGTAAATAATGTGTGTAATGAATTGACGAAGTTAACCAAGGACTTGGCAACCCTGGCCACATCCGACCAGTCAGCGAGTGAGAGTGTGCAAACGCCATGCATTTCCACCGTAGATGCATGTACTGACATCCCCCGTAGGTGGGGGGATCCAGCTAACATACAAATTTCAAACATAGTTCCAGGAGGTAGCAGCGAGAAGGGAACCAGCGAGGGAAACCAGCAAGGGAACAGAGGTAACTGGGGACAGCGGACTCAGCAGCAACAGGCAGCGTCGAACTCGAAATCGGCCAAGAAATCTGTACCGGAACTTGATCCGGGGACCCAAGAGTCGGAGTACACCTTGGTCCAGAGCAAGAAAGAGAAAAAAAGCCAGGAAAACAGTTGCGGAAACTGCAAATCTGGAACCCATAGCGACACTCGCAACAGCAAACGCAGGGGTCTACCAAGGACACAAGCAGTGGTCCTTGACAAACTGTCGGGTACGTCTACATAAGTGAGTGAACCAGTGTTTTGATCTCCCCGGATCTGCTTAGCCGATGGGCGTCTAGGGCGCACGGAGAGACGTCAGTCCACCTCACGCAGTTAATGATGGGTCATAGCTGTTCCAACCGGTTCCTACGGAGGATCAACCACGCACCATCTGCCGGATGTTCACACGGCTACGGCGAGGAAGTCGACGACGCTCACCACACTCTCGCTTGCTGTGAAGCTTTCAGAAATGAACGTGAGCGCGTGTTCGGAGTGATCGGACCTTTTGACCCCGGCGCACTGGTGTCAAAGATGCTCGAGACTCCTGCCAATTGGAAGGCTGTAGCGCAGTCATGTCGAAGAAGGAGGAGGCTGAGAGCGGGAGACAGTTCCGACAGGGTGTCGCTCCATCAAGGCGACGGAGATAACGCAAATTACTTGTGTATATAAATTGTAAATTTATTTGACATTACGTTTTGTTTGTTTGTTGTAAATTACTATGAGGGGTTATGGTTGGGGAATTGTCCTTTCCACGCCCCAAATCTTGTTTTGTGGAGTTTATTTTCAATAAACGATGGCGACCCTCTACCTGAAGTATTGCTTAACGGCGGTAACCTGGCCACCTCTCTGAATCTAAATGTGCAACATCGGAAACACTCCAACGTTCGAAAGAGGTTCGAGTCATTCCATCCTCATCCTGACGTTCGCCTCGCCGCTTACAGCACGAGAACTAATCGATTGGAGCGTATTAGACGAGGAAACGAGAAGCGACCAAAAATACATCTTCTAAAGATGGGATACATGGCGAAGAACGTGGCAACTGCCCCACAAGATGGAGCTGGAAGATGCTCGATCCAAAAAAACTCAAAGACTATCTAGACAGCTAAGAGATGCCTAGAAATCCCCATCAACTTATGGAAAACATCATTGGCGCATGCGACGTGGCTATGTCGAAGATAAAGCCAACACTCATTTACTACAAACCACAATTCTGGTGGACAGATGAAGTAGCCGAACTAAGGAGAGCATCGCTAAGCGCAAGAAGGCAATACCAAAAAGCAGCAAAGAGAGATTATGCTGAAGAACAAAATCGAATATTCAAAGAAGCCAAGAAAAGTCTACGGCTAGCAATAAGGAGAAGCCAAGAAAACTGTTGGAAGAATCTATGTGCCGAAGTTGACCACAATCCATGGGGGAAACCATACAGGGCAGTTATGAGAGAAATAGGTTAGCGGCAACCAGTACCTACAAAAATGATCCCTGCTAAAATAGCTGAACTATTCCCGACTCACCCGGCGATAGAAGAAAACGCAAATCGGCCATCGGTGCTAATACCCGCAGTCACTCTACATGAAATACAATTGGCGTGTAAAAGATTACTTCCAGGAAAATCACCTGGACCGGACGGGGTGCCGAAAGAAGCACTGAAGGTGGCGGTCTGGACACATCCGATGATGTTCCAAGAAGTCTACAGCCAGAGTCTAAACGAAGGAATCTTCCTAAATCCATGGAAACGCGCCAGATTAGTGCTACTGGCAGACCAGCCATCAAGCTACCGTCCCCCATGCATGCTATACACAACTGGGAGGCTGTACAAGCGAATAATCTCCAACCACATAGAAGAAGCCATGGTTAAGGAAAAGATAGAACTAGCAGATAACCAATATGGCTTTAGGAAAGGTCGATCTACGATTGACGCTATTAGCAAAGTCATGGAGGTGGTGGTGGAAGCCGGAAGAGAGACGATATATCAAAGGCGACTCTGCATCCTGATCACACTTGACGTAGCTAACGCCTTCAAGTCGGTATCGTGGAGAGCAATAATACAAGCGATGATTTCCAAAAGAATACCAGAGTACCTTATAAAGGTTAGGAACTACTTCTGCGAGAGGAAGATACTCACGGCGAAGCTCAGGAAGACGTGAAGCTCTCAAGTGGAGTACCCCAGGGATTCGTCCTCGGCCAGTTATTGGTTCTCTCCATAACCAATAACTATACGCCGTGCCCATCTGGGAACCACTACTAGATTGCAGAGCAAACAGTGACATTCCGATCAAGGGGGATGCTGCTACACATATGAAGGCAGCACAATGGTTAATGGCATTGAGGGTCACTAGAGCATACTGCACTGTATCTTATGAAGCGGCAAAACGCTGATAGCGTCAATGCCCCCTATCACGTTAATAGAAAAAGAGCGCTATAACACATAAAGCCATGAAAGCTTAGACGTTAAGAGAAGCCTGAAAGGAAACAATGAAGACATGGCAACAAGAATGGAACAGCGCGAAAAATGGAGGATGGACGAATCCTCTCATCCGAAACGTGGAAAAATGGACTGGCAGGAAACACGGTGATATCGACTATTACCTGACACAAGGCGTAACAAACCATGGATGTTTCAATTCATAAATTTTCAAAATAAAGAAAATCGATTCCCCAAAGTGCTCACTGTGCAATGTAGCTATCGATGATGCTAAACACACTCGAGTGTGGTCTAACACAAAAATATCCAAAATATTTTAAATTTTATTAAGTCTTGAAAATGCTAGTAAAAATATTTGGTGAAAATGTTAAGTCTCAATAGTTTTTCTTTTTTAAATAACAAAAAAAAAATTTACTTTGTCAAAAATTGGTTTAGATTTGACTATGAAATACAGATGACTTACATTTATCATTTTGTTTTGAGATCCTTCTAGATAAAGTTCTCCAGCAATTGAGCAATGTTTTAATTTCATGACATTCTTAGTTAAAGTTCCAGTTTTATCGGAAAAAATATATTTTACCTGAAATAAATTACATTTTTATTCATGAATAGTTATTGATTATTATTATATTGTTAAACAATATGTTTATAATATTTACTTATAGCTAATACAGTTAATCATATTATTAAGCTTATAATAAAAAATATGATAGTAGTAAATTTATGTTTCATAATTATGATACAACAAAATATTCATATTAGGTAGGTACTTTGTACTTAATATTTGTCATGCCTTTTTTTTAAGATTATAAAGTAAAAGAATATAAATTATGAATATATTAGGGATAATTTAATAATTTAATACAACAATAATTGTGTCATGTTCTCATGTATACTTTATCTTAATAACAATATAAAAATACCTAATTAATAAATAAATACCTTGGCCAACTCAACATTAAGATTATGTGATCTAACCCTAGCAGGTGTGTTGCTTTCTTCTTGATACATATCAATGTCATTATTGATAAACCAATCCTATGGAAACGACAAACATTGAGTAATTGCAGTCAACAAAAAACAAAAATCTTAGAAAACCAAAATAAAATCTCGAAAATATTATAGGTACCTTGTATCTACTAAAAACTAAAATAGGTTATAAACCTATAATAAGGTAACAACCCTTATTATAACTATAATTATTGGTAGTAGGTACCAAACTATTAGGTATTTTATTTATCGATCATATTATCAGAGTTTTTTATATTCAGTGGTTTATGGTTTTAAAATTCCATAAAGCATAAGTTTTTTTTTCAATATAAAGCTAGTTTTAACATTAAAAGATAATTTAAAGTTGAAAATGAAATTATTGACTGACATAACTTTTGAAATAATTAAAGAATTAAAAGACGCAAACATCAAACGGAACTGCTAATACGTATATGTATACTGGGAAAATGACTAAAAAAAGTTATAGTATTATATTATTTGAATACTGATATCCGAGTATTTGAATATTCAAATTATTTACAGTAAGACTATTCGAATAATTCCCATCACTTCTATAAACAGATGCTCAGCCTTCAGACATCTGATTCCTTACCTTTAAAACGTATTTAACCACTGAGCACTTAGAAGTATTGATAATATTTTATCTGAATGATAAAATTAGTCATAAAGTTCATCGAGTGTCATTAGTGGATGACTTCTCACGTCAAGCGTATCATGTTGTAAATTACTCTAACCATATAAACTTATTGTGCCCCTAAGGTATAGATTGTTTATCTCAAATAAAGAAAAAAAAAAAAAGTCATAAAGTTCATGCCATAAAAATGTGTTGAAATTTATTTTAGTGTAGATACTTGTAATCATTGATGTCTGATAAAATATTTTTATTACCTATATAAACTATATACCCATTAGATATCAGATGTGTGATGAGAATTATATTATGTGTTAATTTTAGAGATAAATGTTAAATTTTCAAGATATTAAAGTACTTATTAAAAAATATCTATTGAAATATTATTTTCATAACAAATAAATAGGTTTATCTATTTGGCTATTTGACATAACTTACATATTTTACAATTATTTTAGTCGTATTAATAATTATTTATTTAATAATAAAAAAAAAAACAATAAACATTTTACCTGTAAGAAACGTACTACTTCAATATATACATATGATACAGGGATTGTATTATGAAATATAACAAAAAAACTGATTGACTGTAAAAGAAATGTGAATGCATTGACATCTATTATAATAAAACAATAAACAAATCATGTAAGTTTAAATTTTGAATTTATTTATTTACATTATACATTGCATTGTTATCTGATAAATTATAGGTACTTACCTACTTAAGTTTTTATAATTATAAATAATGGCCTACATTATACATTGTATATTTATAAATTATTACAACTATAAAGTTATATTGTTTAATCCAGACGATAATAAAGTATGAGAGTATAAATTGTATACCTATGGCTACATATTTTATTATGTATGAGAAATATATTTTAATATTATTATAAGTTTTGTATTAGGAATATAGATTAATTCCTTGTAAAAATGTACAACTAAATAAATTAGAGTTATAATTAAAATTTGTTTAACTCTCAAGTACTTTATAAATATCTTTAAATGTTTTCCATATACAACTAATTATTTAAATACAATTAGATTGTGTTACCTCTCTGTTCAAGGTACCAATGTTTATTAATATTGTGTTTGGTCCACCACAAAGAGCATAAAGCACACATAAGACTCAGAAAAAAAATCAATAAAAAAACAGTTTTCAGTAACGAGTTTTGAATTGTTTCCATTGCTGATTCTTTTAAAGAGCGTAAAGATTGATTAAGCATAATTTTTGTTTCATGACCACTGTATACCACGACTCCATAAATCCATTTTGAATTTCGCAGAACTGATCCTCGTAGTAAAAATTGTTTATTATCTAAAGGTATAGGGCTATACAAATATAAGTATATAATACTAATATAATATACATAATGTGGTTTTATAAAAAATATAAATATTTCTTACTTATTATTCATAATTATCAGTTTTCCTAAAAAATTATAAAGTAACTTATTTGGCAATTCACATTCAATTATTCCATTTAAATCAATCAAATCTTTTAATTCTTTACAATGAGATGTTTCTTTGACGCATTGTCTGATTTTTAAATTTACTTCACCATCTAAATGCGTAGTTTCTATGTGACAAGTTCCATATAGTTCGCTAAAAAATGTTCTTATTATAATAATAAATAGGGTTCTAATGTTGTTCAAATACCTGGATGATATTAGTACAAGATCTGCTGGGAAAATATTATTATTTTTAACTTTAATAATATCTCCAATCCCGATTTCACTCCATCTCTCTTGAACTAAAACACCATTTCTTAATACTTCCACATATTTATGATTAACTTTATAATCTCTAATATGTTTAATCTATAAAAAAATATATAAAATGGTGATAGTATATGCACCTATCACGTTTCAAAATATTACATAGATCTGGTATTTTTGAATTAATTATTTACTTTTTATTCGTTGGGTCCAAAAACCACACATGCATTTTGGATAAAATATAGGACAAAACCGCACACTTTTTTAGATTGCTGTATCCAAAAACTACGCACTTTATAAAGAAATTATCATCACCTAAGTTACTCCTCACAATAAATACATGAAAATTAAAAATTATTTTTCTTGTTACAATAAAAATGTCATCTCTTTCTAGATGGAAGTAATTTTAGATGGTAAGAATTATCAATTTAAAATAAATTTTAGAGTTGTTTTCTAAACTTTTTGGTAAACTTGGTAAACCTTTTAACGTTCATAATTCATATGGTCTGTAGATTGAAAATAATGCTCAGTGTGCAATATTTTGATTTGCCAATTGCCAATATGCTCAATTAAGCGTGCGGATTTTGTCTATTGACCTTAAATTGAAATTATTAGGGTGCGGTTTTTTGGATGCAACTCTTTTTCGTATATACTTACTTTATAAATTATAGCTTGAAACTTGTATAACACGCTAAAGAAAATATAGTACAATCTCAGTAATCCAACACATATCAGACCCCACTACTGCCGGATTAACGAAAACGGCAGATTAACAGAGGTTCACTTAAAAAAAACGCATTTTCCTATTGAATTTTACATTTTTACTGATACATATAAAAATATGAATTACATTATGTATTATTATTATTTATTAATAATTATGTTTACAATATATATTATTATTTATTATTTATTTTTTGTAATTATTATAGAATATAAATAATAGTAATTTTATATATAAATATATATTGGTACGTATAGATTAAAATAGCCGGATTACTGGACGTATCGGATTATTAAACGGCCGGATTACAGAGATTGTACTGTATAAGTAGGTAGGTAGGCACCTATCTATATTATTCTATTTTTTAATTATTTTTGTGTATTTTAATCTGTTTATTGATCATAATTTATAAAGTTAATATATACTAAAATAATGTTTAATAACTTTTATCATTTATCAAATATTATGAGGTTAAAATATGATAACAAATATCAAGGATTTGGGTAAGTACCTATAAGAAAAATGAAAATTCATATTTTGATGAGTCAATAAATAATATATTTAAAAAATAATATAATTACTAGGTCCTTAATAATTGATTTAATCGCTGAGAATCCAAACTTAATAGTTAAAGGTAATATCGTTGTAAATCTGCCAACTGGAGATGCATCAGGTATTTGCTACAAAAAATATACATATATAAATAGATGGTAACTAATATATGTTTAAAACTGTATTAAACGTTAGTGTTTTTGAAGTGAACCTTCTTAACAGAGGGTACGAAAAAATAAAAATATAAATTGAACAGCACTATGATTTCTAAGGTAATAAATAATAATCTTTCTCTTGTCTTTGTACAACAATAATAGTAAATTTATTTCAATTGAAAATTGTATTTTTTATTTTATTAAAATATAAAACCTAATAACATTTTTTTTTCATGTCTTCTGTAAAAACGTTTCATTTAATTTTCTTTTTACTTAACAGTACATTTTTTGTTTTCATCAGTTTTAAAAAAATATAAGTGCCTTCCAACTGTATTATTATTTACATTGATTGATACATTTTGGGTATTTTTATAAAAGACTATTGTAAAAATACATAATCAATGGTATTACTCATATTGTTGATGTACTTTTAAGTTGTTACTATCAAGGCAGTGGAACAAAAGCTAAAAATATTGTGGTAAGTTAAATCCATCAAATGTGCCAAATAAACAGTTAATAAATAACTTTGATAAGTTTAAGTTTTATTCGTTGACCATAAATGTTGGTGAGAAGTCACAAGTGATGCAAGTTGATGTTCTTATGATATATGCATAGAATCATAAACAATAAAAATATATTTTTATAATGCATTTACTGAAATGTTGATGGTTGATGGAAATGTAAGCTTAAAATGTACAAGCAACATTTGAAATCAAATTCATGATAAAAACAAACGTAAGGAAGATGAAACAGATAAATATTTAATAAAACATTGCAGAAAGAAAATGAAAATGTTGAAGATTCAACAACATTACACAATTGCTAGTAAAAAAGGTGATTATAAGTTAAAGTGAGTTGACAAATCTATTAACGGATATAATTGTGTTAAGTCCCTCTCATAGGCAAGCGCTTGGGGGCAGCAGAGGCAGCATATGCTACCCCAGGACTTTCTTTGGGGCTATCGCGGCCGGCAAATATTGAATAATGAGCCTCAATAAAATTATATTTCCACAAGTGATGATCACCGTAGATAACAAAATTATACAACTATATTTTTTTTTTTTGTTAAGTATAGATAATTATTTTATGATTATAGAATTTGCCAGTATAAAACTAATAGACATGTAATCTACTGTAAAAAAAAAAATAGCCATGATTTCAAATCAAAAAGTTTATGAATATTAATAAAAGCTATTATTGTTTTATTTACAACTTTAATTATGTACCATATTCTTACCAATTATATTATGACATTAATTATTATTACTTAAGAAAAATTAATAAACATCTTCAGTTTTGTACCTACAGATTAGGTGTAATTATTTTTTAAATATTATTTTATATTGTTGCAAATACTTTTATAAGTATTGCATACTTAATTGTTTATTTTATTATATTATAAATAATAAGTATTGACAATTAATTATAGGCTTGTGGAAAAATACACCTATAGTGGGCTTAGTATCTTACTGTACAACTTTTTATACAAAAAAGAAATAACCAATTTTAAATTTGATACCTAATATTAAAAAAAGTAAAACTATGAGCCAGTTTTAATGGTGAATTTGAAGAATGGGCCAAATCAATCACTTTCTACCCCTAAAACCGGACGCTGCGCACACTTATGGTCCCTCTATGCTGATAATGTTAAAATTAAGGTGCTTGATGTAGAAAAATTAAAAATGGACAAAATGGATCAAATATGAAAAATCCAGAACAGTGTTTTAAAAGAACTTCAAGAATTGAAACAAAGTGAGAAAGAAATATAAGTGATTTAAAAAGTAAAAATAGACATTCACTAAAAAAGCATATAGTAGTATTAATGATTAAAATATCCATCCACATAAAGTTGGATATATTTAACATGTTTGATTATATATTTTGTTTAATACAACATAACTACAGAAAATGACAAGCATTTAATAAAAATGTTATGATTGCAATTTAATGGAGATTTTGGAAAAATATGAGTTATAAAGAAAGTATAACTATAAAAGAAACCGGAAATTTTGAAAATGAATTTGAGCAAAACACAATGGAAAGAAGCGGATAAGTGGATATCCCTCTTCTGTACATTAGGTCACTGTAATGGATGATGTTAAATTTGAATTCAATTGTATCAAATCATTGCACACAAAAAATTATTCTGAATGAAGACGATCTATCAGCCTATAATATTGTATAAGTCTTTCAGACTAGTTACTGGAAAGTTATTAACAGATGTAGGTGTATGATTGTAATTCAATTAAATATTAGTATAACTTACCTATAATAGGTACTATAATTCATTAATATACTTAATTAATAATTATTATATTATACAACCTTACAGTACCTAAGTACCTACTATTCTTAAATACCTGTTATTTATATGTTGTGTATTTGTGTACTAACCTGAAGTATAGATATAAATAAAAAATACTGGTTGGTGAATTTTATTAATTGTTCAATGGTAAATAATGGTAAAAATGATAAAATTCCGTATTGGGCAGTTATGACAAGATTTGATTTTTTCTTAAATTGTTCTTTGTCGTTAAATCGTATGGCCCTAAAATACGTTTGTCTATTTTCTTGATCTCCGTGACAATCTATAACACAAGATTTTAGTATAAGATAAAACATTTATACAATATTTTCGTTTGTTTAATATTATTTACATTTTATATGCATATTATATATGTATTATTACGGATAGTTATACATATATTATATTATTATATATTATATTTCATATTCAAAAATATATTTAATAGAAAGTAGGTAAATAGGTTGGTACATATTTAGATATTTTATGCCTTTACGGTTTACTTTATCTGCCACCAAGAAGTGAGCCATATGGATGATTGCTAAGCGCACAAAACCCTCACACAATAATTTCGATTTTTCTTAAAAGACAAATTGTAAAGTACCTATTTGTTTTTTTGAATCGTGTAACTATATAATTACATAAACGAAATTGTAATACAATATTAACGAACATTCAGACTATCAAATGTAGTGTGTTTAATATTTATATAGACTAATGAACTTCTGATAATAAAAAAAAAAACAAATAGCTATAATATACTTAATAATTAGCATTGATAATAAATACTAACAAATACTTAGATTTATAATCAATGCTAATACTTACCTAACTACAAGATTTCGTATGTATTTTTAACTTATACACTTTTGACTATTATTAACTTAATTCAGTCCAGTTTTAGTTTCTAAGAGGAGCAATGATGAGTCCGAATGAGTAGGTATATTCATTTTACAATGATGAGTGTTTTTTGGTCTTGGATCTAGTTGGTATTATAAGAAGTGAAAATTTAAAAAGTTATAATTTTTATGAAATGTATAAAAACATGATTTTTGCAAACTATATTCTTATAACTAAATGTCTAAATTATAAACCTTATTGACTCAGCAAAACGATTTTCATCAACATTTATAAAAAAAAACTAAATTAAAATTAAATCAAAACGTCTATAAATAGTTTTAAAAAAAGAAAATAAATATTAAAGAGAAAAATATTTTGAAAATTATACCCCGTATGGAAAATACTATAAACTACATATTTAGTGAAATTTCAAGTGTCCACACTTATTCGTTTTTGAATTACAATAAAAAAAGAAAAACGTTCAATGAGAATTCGTTGTCCAGGTGAATATTCAATATCAAAATCATTTGAACATCGAAGTTAAAAATAAAATAAAAAATAAAAAAAAGAATATTTGACTTTCCCGAAAAACATATGAGGAATTTGTTATTATATTTTTAATCTTTGTTATAAAAAGAATTTTTAAGTTAATTTTCTAACTCAAAATAATTTGAAAGTTTTCAACATTTTGACGAATTTTGTCAAATTTCTAATTTTAGATGCTCATACAAAAATTAGGTGGATTTACTATAAACTTTTTTTAAATTTCCATTTACAACAACTTATGAGGAATCTCGTATTACATTTTCAAGTTTTTTGACAGAAAGAAAATCGTTTTTATTAAACTAAAGTCTAAAATTAGTAGTAATCGAACAGTTTATATGAATATTAAAAAGTCAACATGAGTCAAGATATTTTTAAAGTCACATGACTTTGGTGTATAGAAAATGATAATACAAACATTCAGATAAAATCGCATGTACCTATCTACGGTAATTTTTCTTAGAGTTACACCTAAAACAAAAATCGATTTTATCGAAAACCGATTTTGCGTAAAATTAACCGTTTTTCTTTAAATATTTGGTTCCCCGGCAGTTAAAAAAACTACAGTTAATTTTTAAATTTTGATTTATTTCCACTACTTATTGTTTATACAATAAAAAAATAAAAATAAAAATACACATCATTGTAAAATCAACCTATAACCTGAGTAGCAATTTCAATGCAGTGAATGTGTAAATGCTATATAATCTCTTGTTCAATCTCAGATCAGTCTTCACTGTATCGTATTTTTAGTCAAAATGAATATCGAATTTTTACATGGGCTGCACCGTGCTCTTAAGATGACAGTGTCGGTTCACACACCGTGCGAGTGTGCAACAAATGTTCTATTACCTTTAAATTATGAAATATATAACCGTGCACGCGCTGATTATTGTTCAGTGCTTAGTGCTATAACAGTATGTACTAACTGTACACACGTCATTTTTACGGTGCTGTAACCATGTATATGTTACGGAATACGGGCAAAGTGGAAAATTCGGACAATGTATACAATGGCCGGACATTGTATACAGTGACCGGTCATTGTATACAATGGCCGAAGTATATTAGGTAATGTAAATTGTGAAGTATTTATACAAATAATCTGCATAATATTATTTTACCTAATCAATGATATTATATACTAATTTAATTATACTCATTACTCGTTCATATGGTTATTTATATAAGAGTATTACATTTTTTTTTTAATTAATTAAATTTTAAATGTATTTAAAGGTAATGCAATAAAATATTATGTGCATAATGTTCAGTTATATGCAAGAGCGCACCCAAGGGGGTGGCTAACGGGCTTTAGCCCCCCCCCCCCAAATGGCTAGCCCCAAAACACATTTTATTAGGTTTATTGACGATTGACATTTGACTTTAAATTATTATAAAAAAAAATATCAACTATCGAAATTTAAACATTATAAGGTATAACATAATATCATAATATTATATTATATTTATACCTGTCATTCCGGGCCCCGGGAGAGACCTCTGTTGCTTATTATTATCGTCGCGACGTCGTTAGTTGAAACTGTGTACTGTGTAAGATACCGGAAACGTCTAGATTATACATTTTTATGGATACAATTTAGTTTATCTCAAACCGCTATGCTTCATATTCACAGAGAAATCGATGTTCAAACTTCAGAAGTACTCTCAATAATGGGGAAAAAAGGACCAAGACGTCTCAACTTTATAAGATTGTAAACAAGCTTTAAGATTTCTGTACATATTTCAAAATAAATACTACCTATTAATATTAAAATATTTTGAATTTAGCCCCCCTCAAAAAAAAATTCTGGGTGCGCCCCTGGTTATATGATATTATACATGAAGTTCATTTGTCAATTGGACATTTAGGTAGAAATAGAATGGAACACGAGATTAATAAAAAGTACAAAAATATAACTAGAGATGTAATAATGTTATACTTAAATAATTGCAAATCGTGTAAAAAGAAGGGAAGTA